ATCTTGTGAACAGATTACATAGATATACTTGCTGTTTATGAAGGCATGATTTTAAAAATTTATTTTAAAACTGGCATCCAACTTATACTAATGATGCCAGTCTAAATATTTGAGCAACTGTAAAGTGCTGTTCCTTTACACATGCCAACAATTAAATTCTCAAGTACTCTTATACATAAGCCTCATTTTCACTGATCCACTGGGAAGGAAACTGATGAGACGTTAACCAACTAGGAAACAGAAGCAAAAAGTAACAGCAACACTGAAACCCAAGAATATGCAGATTTGCCTTAGTCTGGGTTCCTCGATGCAGCCTATTCAGACCTGGGTTAATGTGCAGGTGATGTATTAAGGAGGTGCCAGGAGGAGACACTGTGTTCAGAGTGGCGTGGGGGGAAGGCCAGGGAGAAACTGCTGAGCAAGGGTGTGGATCAGGTGGAGTTCCAGCCTCAACCTTAACCCATAGAGGACGTAGTGGTGCTTGGAGTTTGTCCCATCTGAGGCAAGGCTGCTGGACATGACCTCGTGCACCTTTTAGCTGCTCCAGAGACTTGGATATTTCATGACATTTTTTGCTGCCTGCAAAGTGAGTCTAAGACCAGGCCTTTGAAGAAAGTCACACACCTGAGAGATTAGACAGAAGACATCCAGAACAGAATGTGTGGTGCGAACACAGAAAAGGTCAAACATACTCAAGGTGATCTTGGAACAGCGCTGGCTCTGTGCCTTCTACTACCCTGCCAAAGAAAACAAGTCAGCGGAGCTCAGGGGGGTGTTCCTGGTCCAGCCGACAAGGCCAAATGTGGACTCTGGCACTGGGGAAGCTCGCTAATTCATACCGGCTTTATGTCCATACCTATGAAATAAGGAAGAAACCTTTATAAGATTTGTTTTGAGGGTTAAATGAATATGTGTAAACTATGTATCTATATACCTCTACATATCTGTATCTGTCTATACCTACATACATATCTATACAGACAGAGGGCAAAGTTGGATGGAACATAAAAACTAGTGAGATGTGACACATGCCTTGCTCAGGGTCTTGTCACTGCTGGTTGGTGGCACAATCAAGAAGTGAACTCAGCCTCCAAGAAACTACTTCTTGCTGGATATACATGAGTTAATTTTAAACTTTCCAGAGTTATATACCAAATCCAGTTTATTCAGTATCTCAGTTGACTTAACCTTAGTACACCTAGTAATACTGAGCCAGAAGCTGCCTTTAAGTTCATGAGTCACGTGTTGAAATTCAAAGAACTACATATACATGCAGCATGTTGTTACTTTTAACTTGTTAATTTCTGTCTTCCTGAGGTGTTTGGCAAAGGTCTTAGTTAATTGATATTCAGATGGTGCTCTAAATCATAATATGTTACGTCTCTCAAGGGATATTGCATATTCAGCCAGTAAAATAGCCTTCCTGCTAAGCGTCTGTGTGGAATCAGCAAGCAGGGGAAGAAGATAATTGTGTATATTAGAGGGAGTGATTCCCCCCGCCCCCCCCCCGGCCCCGTATGGCTCTTCCAGGGCATTTACTGATGTTACTCTGTCGTTAACTTACCCAGATCTGGTGAAGAATTAGTGAATAAAGGGCCGGGGATTTAGCTCAGTGATGCCGCTGGCTGCTTTACAAGCGCAGGGTCCCGAGTTCGATCCCCAGTACCAAAAAAAAAAAAAAGAATTAGTAAATAAAAAGAAAGAGTGAAACAAAAGTAGTTTTATGTGGCAATGTTTGTACGAGAAATAAAAGACAATTTCAAGTGCCACGTGTGGGACACACATACATGTTGATGAGGTCATGATATAGCCTGGTGTTTGCTTCCTAGGACTTTGGATTGCAACTAACAGAACCCCAAGTTGAACTCTCTTAGGAAAAAGAAAGGAATATGTGGACTTACTAATTAAGAGGAATGGATGAATATATTAACAACAGGATGCAGAGAGGCACATGGTTCCAGAAAGGACTCGGTTATTAAAAGCCCTGTCAGCATTATCTGGACTCTGACCCTTCCCTGTGTGCTGACTGTTGTCTCAGTGCACACGGACAGCCCTTCCATGTGACCACCTGTCAGAACCCAGGGTTCCTGTAAGGGGCGAATAATTTCCCAGCGGTCCCCACATCCTCAGTTCTTCCCTTTCCTTCGTCTTCATCCCATTTGGCCTCTTCTTGCCACTGCTTCCTGGCCTTCGGCTGCCAAGGCCCATCGTGCTGCAGGGCCTTAGCACCACATTAGCAAGTCAGACGCTGCTTTGATCCCTGGGTTTTCTCAGAGTGGAATGCCTGGGAGGTGAAGACACCATTGCCCTGCTCAATTTGGGTGGCTCTTGTAGCTTGGAAAAGAGCCTTCCCCACAAGGAGAAACTGTTCTCCTCGGCCCATGAGGAGAGCATACAGAGTGGCATCCACACTGCTAGTTCCACCTGAAATGTTCTCATAAGCAGCACTGCCTTAGTCGGGTAACATCTGGATGCCTTGCGTCAGAGAGAGCTTATGGGCTCCTGTGTGGACAGCACTCTCTGCCTGCAGTGGGTCTGTGAAGCAGGATGCCAGGAACAAGAAGAGGCAAGAAGAAAAGTGGTAGGGATTTGCAAAATTTCCAGCTCATTACAGATTCCACCCATCACTCTCCCCTTTTGTTTTAATTATTAGTTTATTGAGTTGCAAGTTGTTTTTGGAGAGCTGTGTTCCACTCGTGTTTCAACAAGCAAGGAAGCACATCTTAAATGGAATAGGGAGTGTAGGAAAACTGCTCAAAAGAACTCTTCTCTGTGCCCTGCGTTTCTCATGTACAGCTCGGCATGCTTGGACAACACAACAAAGACACCCCCAAAATACTGAAAACTAGATCACGAAAGACTTATGTTTAGTTAGAAGTAAAGAAAATATTTAACCTCAGTCATTAAGGACAGTGTTTGTGTCTGTGGTAAGTCTGGGTCTCAGATACTTTTAGGGGCAGTTATAACCTAGGCTTAAAGGTACAAATCTGCATATTGTTAGTTTGTGGTAGAAAATTGAGAAGCGAGGTTAGGGGCTGTGTCAGGTTCCCGACTGCTATAATAAACAGCCATAACTTGGAATAGCAGAAATGCATCCTCTCCCATCTTTGGAGACTTGGAGGTCTGAAATCAAGGCATGGGCTGGGCTAGACTCACTCCAAAAGCCCCAGAGGATGGCCCTGCCTTGCCTTGCCCAGCTTCTGCCGGCTTCTGAATTTCCTTGGCTTGTAGTGGCATGACCCACTTCTCCGTGGGCCCATGGCCATCTCTTCTGTGTATGTGGCACAAAATTTCCCTTTCCTTCCCCTATTAAGACACCAGGCCTGGGTCTCTTGGTTTTGATCTGTCTGGCAACACCCAGCTCTCATTGCTCGACTGGTGCCTTCCCAGGACCTGCCTCAGAGAGCTCAGTACAGCCCTCAGGTTCTCCCTGAACTTACAGACTCTTAGCAAAAATCTTCCATGCCGAATGACTTGCTCTTGACATATTAGAAGTGCTCTGTCCTTGGAATATTGAGGCATGAAAGTCTAGCCTCACACGAGGGTTCAAACTAGGTGTGCACGCTAAATTCTGATTGAAACTCTTGGTTTTTCTTCTATGCAGTCATAGTTTGTTTTGCAACTGCGCTTGAACTATAACTGTTTTTAAGCAAAAGAGAAAGTAGTTTCTGCCTTTAGGGCTTATAATCTTTTAGTGATGAGACAAGAACAAACAAGACTCGGTACAACATTATTTCCATGAATGTGATGTCAAAAATATACATGCAGGTGGATATGGCACGATTCACTAGGTGATAGGAAACAAAACAGAATTTAAAAACTTGAATTCCTCAGTTGTCCATTTCAGACCCCTATCTAGTATGTACCCATTCCTCTTCCGCTGCTTAGGTTTTCCTACAAAAGAGAAAAAATATGGGGAAAAAATTAAAAATTAGGAGAAAATAGCTTAAAGCACATTATTTAAATATGCAAGTCTAAAGTAGAAACCAAGCAAGGATTTCAAAATGGCACTTCAGCGTTTGATTGGTTAGGGCCAAAAATCGAAGTCATGCTGAGATCTTAGGCTGCTAACGTTGTGGAAATCTAGAAGCGCACCAGCTTCGTGAGACAGAAACCCTTCTAACTGCCTGCCACAGCTGCAGCCCGAGGAGGCCAACTACGGGGATCCCTTTTCATTTGTTGGGGATCCCTGGGCTCTTTGAGTGTTGCTTAGCTCATTCGAGGTTGGTTTGCAGGTTGCTGGACTCAGTAGACAAGTGCTATGAAGGGAACTTACGAGGGGAAGTAGGAAGGAGATGTTTCCACGGACCATGCTCCCAACTCCAGGACCAGCTTCATTGCCCATCGTAATTTAACTGCTTTCTAGTTTCCCTCTCCTAATCCGAGCAGAGTCACAGGACCGCAGCGCTAATAATTTGTTTTCTCTCACCAGTTCTAATAATAAAATAATTAAAATGTGATCCTTATCTCTTAAAAAAAAGACATCTGTTTTTGAGTTATACATTGTATGCTGCTCACGTGTATAAAAAATGAACAAGGCCTCATGTATTCCAGTAGGGATGGGTAAAAATAACATTTTAAGATAGAGAAGAGGAAGACAGAGAGAGACGAGAAGGCTTCTTTTTCCTACATGGAAAATAAACGAGGGAGGGGAAGCATTGCACACTGAAGCCTGGAAGAGAGTCAGACAGTTTTGAGATGGCTGCTCAGTTGAATGGGTAAGGGAAACAAAGATGAGTTAAAAACAAAAGCAGATTAGTCAAGTCTTACAGTATTAGGAGTAAACAGTTGTCTCATCTTTGCTGTCACCATTGTCATCATCATCTTCATTGTCTCCAGCATGAATTGCATTTGAAGCTCATAATCTTTATATCATTGAGAAGGATATTCCTGGAAGAATGGATAATTCCTGGAGGTAGTTTGGGGCTTGCTGTAGGATGTTCCTGGCTGTCTTTATCACATCCTCTCTCTCGCTCTCTCTCTCTCTTGTGTTTGTGTAGGTTGAGCCAGTGATACACAGAGGCCACGAGAGTCTGGTGCACCACATCATGCTCTATCAGTGCAGCAGCAATTTCAATGACAGAGTCCTGGACTACGGCCATGAGTGCTACCACCCGAACATGCCCGATGCCTTCCTCACCTGTGAGACTGTAGTCTTCGCCTGGGCCATTGGTGGAGAGGTGGGCAAATGGTGGCTGAGATGCAGCACAACTAATTGCCTGTGTTCTTTCACTACAAATATGACTGTAATACTTATGAGGACAACTCCGTATACTGTCTGTATCAGAGTGGGGTGTTTCTGTTTAAGTAGGGATTGATTAATGGCATTCCAGAAGTTCAGAATGATCTTTGCAAAGAGTTGGTTTATGAGCACAGTGGTGCTCTCAAGGATTTTCCTAAGAAACTGTCTCATGGCGTTTTCCATATTTAGGGTTTTTCCTACCCACCTCATGTTGGGTTATCCCTTGGCACTCCGTTAGACCCTCAATATGTGCTTCTAGAAGTCCATTATGATAATCCAACATATAAGCAAGGTGAGTTCTTTCTTTCTATATTTTACCTCTGGGTTTTAAAAGTTTTATAATTCTAGTCTTTAACAGAAAGTAAACAAAATAGAAAATATTAGAAAGAGGTTGTACATTTGTCATCTGAACTAGGATACTTTTTAGAGTAAAAGAGGGTCCACATTCACAGTTATCTACTGGGACAATAGGCATTATTCTCCAGCACCAGCCAAGCAAATGGGCACATATGGTCAATAATCAAATCTTTTCTATACTAACTACCAGGGAGTAGAATAATTGACTTTCTCATTTGCTGTGTAAACTGAGTTCCAAACACATGTTTTTGAAATATTTTCTTTCCAACCGTACCTATGGAAAAGCTACCTTTCATCACACTAAAAAATATTAAGCATTTTATTGTGTGGTAGGCAAGTCATAAATATACTCAAGAAGTATTTATTCAGTGAATTTGTATAAAATGCTGTGGAAGAGAATAGGTAGATATATAAGAATATGCACTTGATTTTGGAATTTATTTATGTAATGTTCCAAAATGAGAAACTGATAAAGCCCATGTGAAATTATTAGCAGAAGCAGTTCTAAATAATTATTTTATTTCATTTTGTGCAATTATTCAGCACTAACTATGTGCTGGATCTATGCTTGAGGATATCACATAAGTGAAAAACATGCTGTGCCCCACCTCATGGAAATTATAGTCCACTGGGAAAGAGAAACAATCAAAAACTCATACCAATTAATATAAAATTATGTACATGCCAGTTATCAAAAAGACAGGCACTGGTACTACAAGAGTATTTAATTGGTGACCTAATCTACCCAATGATATAGGTGGGTGGTCTAGAAAGTCTTCCTTGAAAAAACGAACTCCAAGGCTATGGGTGCAAACTCAGTTTTAATTGGGAATGGAGTCAATTAATTTCAAAGTTAATGGAAGGATCTTTATATTCTTCCTCTTTACAATAACTGTCATTGCGAGGAATGAATCTTTTTCATCTTTTATTCCCACAGTGCCATGTGTACTGTTCACATAATAGATTTTTACTGACTGTATTTAAATAAATAACTGATTATTGAATGAATAGGGGAATGGTTACAAACTATAAGAGAAGGTAAGCTTCAGTAATTTTCTCTGTCCAGCACGTGGTTTCAAGGCCAAGGGATTTACACCTCTAAGTAAATGTTACCGAACTTCATCTTAGAACAATATAAAATAAACCTTTGGGGAGTTATTCTCTAATTAAGGAGTGACTTTAGAATTTTCAGTCTGTCTCCATGTTAGATAATTGTGAGACATCAGCCAGATAACTCAAACATTTTCCCCATAGCATGCTATCTGTGTCTATGATGGCTGCAGTGTGGTAACTCGCATTTAATTTCGGTTTATGAAGCTGATTATTGTCTTTAATGGGCTCTGCTTGTATTTCTTTCTCCTGTGATTTTTAAGGAAAATCAACTTTTCCATTTTAATGGGCTATGGGAACGTTGTTTTTAAAACCTCAAACTCATTTTTAATTATGTGTTCTCGTTCCAGGCTTAATAGATAGTTCTGGACTAAGGCTATACCATACCATGGATTTGAGGCGGTACGATGCCGGGATGATCCAAGCTGGCCTCTGGGTGAGCCTGTTCCACACCATCCCTCCAGGGATGCCCGAGTTCTGGTCTGAGGGTCACTGCACCCTGGAATGCCTGCAAGAGGTAGGCTGTGCCCGTGTCTGGGAGCTGCCCTGTTCAGATTCACTGTGGTGTGAAGACTCTTGCTTGTTTATTCCTTGCCCCTTTTCCTTTTCCTGTGGGTATCATAGGAAACCATTACTGCAATTCCAGCAGCACCTCTGACTACCTTCTACAGCTGTGACGCTCGCTGTAGGAGCAGGGTTCGGGAGGCAAGAATAACTTGCAGGCTGCCTTCCTTCCCTCTCCCACCTCCTTTGTTTCATGCTGGGCACTTCATTTCCTCTTTTACAACTCCTGGCTTTGTTGGTGTAGACTCTTTCCTTTCTCGACTTTTCCTTTTACTCACATTTCTCCTATCATCCACATTCATTTTTTTCTCTGCTTCATTGCTTCCTTCCCTTCTTTCACCAAAGAGCAAGACTAAATAATCTACAAATGCATGGTACACAAGAGAAGGCCATGCATAAGCATTTAACAGTGACTATTTCCAGTTAGTTTCTTATTGAGTAAAAGTATTTGAATATGATCACAGTCTTTCTGTATTACGTGATAGTGTAGGTGTGGCCAGTATGGAGACTGGTAAAGCGGACAGCCTACGTCCCTCTGGGTTCTTTAGAGCAGGATTCAAATTGCCATGATGACAGAGACTAACTCCAGGACCATAATGCTGCATTTAATTCCACTGAGCTCTCTAGCTTTCCTATCTGGAAAAGAGGGGGAAACTTTCATTTCTAGAGTTTGCATTTCCAGGCTACTAAGGTGCTGGACTCTTTTTGCTAGGAGTGTTGTCTGCCTCTTGACTTCCTGAAAGAAGGAGAAAGGATGATAGTTTCCAGAGTGGTTTTGCAGATCTGCTTTCTTGTCTCCCATCAAATGTTGCTTTGCAAACAGAACATTGAACAATTCACATTCAAAACATTTGGCAGCTCAACCGCGCACTTAAGTTACTTTGATTTTCGTCTCAGTTGTCCCTCCAAGTCTGTTTCAGTGTGAACTGTCTGAACATGCACTTGTTTGGGCTGATTGGATTTTCCGGCTATTCCTGCAGGCTCTGGAGGCTGAGAAGCCAAGTGGAATCCAGGTGTTTGCAGTTCTTCTCCACACTCACCTCGCTGGCAGAGGCATCAGGCTGCGGCATTTTCGCAAAGGGAAGGAAATGAAGTTACTTGCTTATGATGATGATTTTGACTTCAATTTCCAAGAGTTTCAGTATCTAAAGGAAGAACAGACAATCTTGCCAGTATGCATGTTTTTGTTCTTTTTCACTGAATGTTATAAAGGCCATGAGCCAATCATCAGCTGAGATGCAGCAAGATTTCTACCGTGAAATAAGTTGCTCATTGTATCCACGATCTTACAGCCGCCCACCGTGGGTGTTGCATAACTCAGAGTGAATGTGTTTGATCTGGTTTCCAAACCTGAAACTCACTTTTTCTTACTATTCCCAGGGGCAATTCAAGTTCTTGGTTTAAGAAACAATCAAAACCAAAAAACTCAGTTTCTGATCACTAAACATTACCCTTTTTAAAAACTTGATTCCCCAATTAGTGATCTTTTGGCTTGCAGGTAAGGTAAGGGTAAAATCAGGGTTTCTTTCCACCATCTTGAAGAAAAAGGAATTTTTTTACAAGTTTCATTTCAGTAAAACTGTATGAAAGAGTACTTCTTCCATTTGACAAACATATGCAGACGTAGCTAATTATACTCTGCTGTGTCATGCAGCTTGCCACAGTACTTGAGGTTAATGAAGGAAGGATCAGAGAGAACCTTACACTGTCCAATAACAAAGCCTTTTAAAACTCTTATGATGCTTTGTTTCCCTAAAGTTTTATTCCATGGCCATCATGTTCATAGAATTTCCTATCCCTGTTTCACTCTGAAGAGACAGATGCTTATACTGCTTATGAAATGACAGTAAGTGCAATATTTTCTCTAAACAATTCTGGGAACGGTGTTTTTAGGTGGGTGAACTATCTGGGAATGCACAGCTGTGGATTGATGCTCCTTCCATAAATTCTTTGGTGTACTCTGAGGGTGGAAAGATAAATTTTGAGAGACAGTAATTTGTCAAGATTCCAAAGAGTCTCGTTCATCACACTGGTGGGGGGGTGGCCTTTCCACCCAGCTGTACTGTGTTCCCAGCACGTCCTAATTAGCATGCCGTTGCAGGATGAAGCGTGCTGAGATACTGATCTCTGAGCCTTACGGGAAGCAGGGCAGGGAGGAAAGTCGAGGCAGTGCCCAGGGATGGCTGTCTGTGGTCTGCAGAGACTTTCACCACTTACTTGGGCAGGGCCATAAAATATCACTGTCCATGGACATTGTAATGTTCAAAAGACTGGAAAGCACTAGAACAACTAATTACCAGTCATTTGCCTCATGATTCTATTGTAAGAAAATTATTCTAATGAATAAGTAATCACAATAACTCGTACCTGTGACTACCATTTCATTAGGTACTTAATCTCTACTAAGGACTACATGTAACGGTATTTAATTTCCTCACAATAGCTGTGCAAAGTGAGTGCTATTTGTATTGTTCTGCCTTAGATGAACACATTGCGCTGGGCTATTCAGTTCCTTACTTGGGTTATCCAGGTAGAATCTGGTGCAGTCTGGCTTCAGCACGAGCCTTACTTGTTCATCTCCCCGGGTGCTGTTCTAGCAAACCTACCCTAGTGTTAAACAGATCGAAGGTCTTCTCCTGAACTACTTGCTCCGTTTCTTCAAACAGCAAATATGAATTGTTGGCCTGAAAATGTATTAGATAAGTAAGAGAGCTTCACCTCAAAGCTTGTACTTTTGTATTTTAGGGAGATAACCTCATTACTGAATGTCGTTACAATACCAAGGATAGAGTCGGCATGACATGGGTAAGAAAATCTTCACTATTAGTAAAGTTCATTTATAGAAAGGAAGAAAAAAGCTTTGATTTTAGAAGAAAAAAAACTTGGGGCTGGGGATGTAACACAGTGGCACCATGCCTGCCTGGCAAGCGCAAGGTCCTGAGTTTGATCCCCGGTACTGGAAAAAAGAAAACAAAAAAGAGAGAGAGAAAAAAGTAACACACATTGCCCTTTGGAAACAGAATTCCTGAAAGTCTTGAGAATGCAGCATCATAAAGGTAAAATCAGAGATGTTTAAGTATTTTTTCATCAGACTTCAAAATACCTAACGATACTATGGTAATAATCGCAGTGTAATTTATTGACTCAAGAAAAATCTATCCTTATTCTTTTAGTTTTTCCTCACCAAATATGATAAGATGTGATCATTAACTTACTGTCTATTTGAGTCTGGACAGTAAATCCCTGATAATTTAAAGGAAGAATGAGTTACATGAACTCAAGAGCTTCTGACCCAAATGGAACTCAGGTCCCAAATGATTTACTGGGAATTCCTGCTGTGTATCCAAGAAATACATCTTTCCTGCCTTGCCCAGCCTCCTCCAGAGAACACAAAGAGAAAGACCACCTCCCTCCAACTCCTTTTAGGAAGTTAACACAGTCTTAAAACCAAAGCTTTATAAGGACAGCATGAAATAGGCCGGTAACATGCACCTGATAGAAATATCTTCGATAAAATATTGACAAACAAAATTCTACATTATATACCAGTCTAATGCCAGAACCAATTTGGGGTTAGCTAAGAAACGTAAAATTGACTTAAATTAGAAAATACATTGATGCCCTTCAGCATTCCGGGATTGAAAGGAAAAGACATGATCGCCCAAGAGGGGCAGAAAAAGGATTCATAAAATTTAAGTCTGTCGTGAAGAGAAGAAAAAGACATTTAGCAAACCAGGAACACCAGGGAATTGCCTTAACTAGATAAAAGTTAGCTATGAGAAAATCTGTAGCCAATATTAAATTAAATGAAATACTAGAAATATTCCCCCAAATCATGAAGAATACACGATATTTGCTTTTAGTGCTTCTATTCAAGACTACTGAAGAAGAAAAACACAGAATATAAGGATCAGAAAAAAAGCCATGAACACGCAAAACACATTACTCACAGATATTACAGTTTTATACACCAAAACCCTCTCTCTATTTGATATGTAAAATTAATTTCATTTTCATGTAAAAAATCATCTTGAGATAATGCAATTTAAAATTATAAGTTACATGGAAATAAAAGCTAACATTAGATGTGTTTTGTCTTTAGGAGGAAAAATATAAATATTATGAGGTATTAAAAAACAGTGAAAGGGGGCTGGGAATTTAGCTCAGTGGTTCCGGTGCCTCGCAAGCACAAGGTCCTGAGTTCGATCCCCGGTACCAAAAAAAAAAAAAAAAAACAACCCAGTGAAAAATTAAGAGATGCTCCATTCACGGATACAATGACTCAGTAAAATAAATGCTACTCAAACTTTTATAAATTTGCTATAATTCTAGTGAATAAAATTTAGATCAATTTTATAATGGGTTTTTATATCCTAGCATGTGCAAGCCCTGGATTTGATGCCTAACATAGCAACAAAACAAAAAACAAGCAAGCATTAAAAAAAAAGCAAGCAAGCAAACAAAAAGCAACTGTGAAACAGCTCAAATATCCATCAAAAGGAAAATAAGTAAATGCACTCTAATATGTTCATGTAATGAAATAGTGTAGAGTTACAAAAATTAATGAGCTAAAGCTAAATGTATTAACATGAGTCTACCTGAAGAGCATAATGTTGGTTGAAAGAGCAAATTTCCAGGGGATGTTATATCTAGTGGTCAATCTTAAAGTTCACTGATTTTTTTGGTCATCTCTAATCTGCCACTGAGCTCAGCTTTTATTTTTTTAACTGAGTTTTGTTACCTCTCAGCTCTAAAATTTCTATTTTTAGGGTTTCTTTTTTATTGTTTCCTTTCTCTGGTGTCATTTCCTATTTGTGTACTCATTTTTAATATATTTCCCCTTAATTACTTGAATATATTTTCTTTAATTATCTGACTATAGTTTTATAAGCTTCTAAGTCTTTGCTAAATCCAACATCTGTATCTTATCATAGTCTGTCTACTTAATTTTCTCCCTTTGATACAGATCATAGTTTTCTGTTTTCATGTCTAATAGTTTTTGGGTGAAAATTGGACATAGTAGATTGTATACTGTAGATTCCAGGGTCTTTCCAGGGTCTTTTTTGTTACAATTTAACAATTTCTTAACTACTTAGATCCAAAGTGTAGGATCTGAGTCCTTTGTGGTTTCCAGCTATTGATGTTTATAAACAAAAAGACAGAGAAAATTCATTTTCATAAGGGAAAGTCTATCAGACTGATTGATTGGTATCGTGTTAACCGAACATCCTAATGATCATCTGAAATATTCACTATGGTGTGAAATTTACAACACATCAGTGGAACTTTAAGGAGATTATTAGGTTATTTAATAAAAGCAACTTTTAAGGAGATGGAAATAATTCTATTAATGTTTAAGAATATCATAATCTTTTTGAAAGCTATAATTTAAATTATTACTTTTCAGTTTTAAGATTTAAGACATTTCAGAACTGGAAGGAAGTGTAAGACCTCGGTGATTTTTTGTTCAGAATTGGTGGAATGTACACTTTGCTAAAGAAAATACCTCTATTTTCAGGGAGGACTAAGCACCAGGAATGAAATGTGTCTCTCCCACCTGCTTTATTACCCCAGGATTAATCTCACCCGTTGTGCAAGTATTCCAGACATCATGGAACAACTTCAGTTCATTGGCGTAAAGGAGATTTATAGACCAGTCACGTGAGTGGTAAAGGGCCTCGCGGTAGGGTCCTGTACTTCAGTACGGGCTTTACTTCCATACCGAGATCTTGCCGTGATGTGCGATTCTGTTAGATTACTTGCAACTGGAGAGAACACATAAGCTTCTTCATTGCTGTCCAGTGTTCCCAAGCCACACTCAGTTTCAGGGATTTGCTAAGAGGACTTCAAGACTCAGCATATGGGTGAACTCAGGGACAATAATTATTAAAATGAAAGGATACAAAGAAAAATGAATGGAAGGAAATACACCTGGGGAAAAATCCAGAGCAAGCCAGCTGTATGTAAGCTTCCAAGAGGCCTCTACTAATTAAGTTACAGAATCACTTAATTTCACCAGAATTGAGTTATGACATATATGAAACAGATTCTCACTAAAGCTCCCTCCTTGTCCAGGCTTTTTTGGGGGTGGGGGTGGAGCTGGTTAAAAAGCTACTCTCTGTCTAAGATATGTCAGAAGTCCAGCCTCCCAGACAAAAAGCAGGTGCTTTAACATAAACCAGTAATTTGTGCAAATAGTCCAGGTGAACTGAGTCACTCTGCCCATTTAGGGAAAGCTCTACATCACTACAGGAAATAATTGCCTATTTAAATCCCCAGACACCAACCGAGGGTCACCATCTATGGCCTGCTCTGTGAACTCCTTCTGCACAATTGTGTATCATAGAAACTGCTTTAAATAAAGTAGTAGGCAAGATAAATGTTATTCCTTTCTCCCTGAAATTATATTTTAAAGTGGGGGAGTGGTGATAAGTAAACAACTTAAAAATTTAAATGGTAATAGCTGTTATAAAAGAATAAAACAGAAAAGGAAGTATGTAGCTGTTGTCAATAGGTAGTGAAGCCTTTCTAGGGAGGTGATATTTGAACGGAGAAATACATGCTGAGACACCAGGGAGAGAAAGACAGACGCTTTTGGAACAGCGAGAAGGGCCGGTGTTGTGACCCAGTGCAGGGTATGAATGCATCAGGATTGAGGAAGAGCAAGGGGGTACATCTGGCTGGAGCAGAGTGAAATGTGGTAGAGGAGGCAGGGCCCGGGCAGTGGCGTCAGACTATGGAGGGCTTCCTGGGCAGTGCCAAGCCAGTGTAGGGTATAAGCAAAGTCAGTTGGGCTCTTGCATTGTAGTTCGATGAGGGCAGGAAGCCATGGTGATTTTCCCGTGGAGGGGCGAGGGCACCTGGCCAAGATGGAGGCACTGGAGTGAGAGCAAATGATCACACTCAGTTTAAACTCGGTAGCACCCACAGGACGTGCTGCATGACTGCAGTTCGGGAAGACAGGAGAGAAGGAAAGAAAAAAGGCTCAGTGAAGGACATGAGGGGAAGAAGACCCTGAGAACTCTGATCTGTGTATGTTAGAGTAGATGTTTAAAACGGATTTCACCTATTCTCAGTAATATCAGCAAGAGGGATTAGAATGGCTGGTAGAGACGTGGAGGCGCCATAATTTGTTTTAATATTAAGGAAGACCTTTCTAGTAATTAGGATTTCTCAAAATGAAAGGGATTGGTGTAATTAGATGAAAATGTGCACAGATTTATTTTTGGAAAGTGTATTTAAGAAAGAGTAAAAAACACTTAATAGGGTTATGGTAAAATGCAGAAGGTGAAGGAGAATATACATATGGTCTAATTTTTCCTCCTAAATATTACAGGGATTATAATTTATGAATGGAGATTCTTTTTAAATTAAATTATTCACTTCTACATGATTTACTTCTGTATAAACAACCCTACAACCACCAGAACAGTAATCTGTATCTAGTAAAATACAAACAACAAAATGCTTGTGTAAATTGGTCTGTAGTTTATTAAATATTTTCACATGAATGATTTCATTTATTTTTGCACAATTTCTATAGAGCAGGACACAGAGTCCCAGTTTGATAGAGAGAGAAATAAAAACTAATAGATTATGAAGCTGCTCAGCATAACACAATATATAATAAATAGGAAAGTTAGAATTCATATTCTGGTCTCTTGTTCCATATATGAATATATTTATATGGAATAACTTTCTGATAGTTAGGACTTTTCAAAATGAAAGGGGCTGATGCAATTAGACAAAATATTTACATATAATAAATAAAATATTAGTAGAAATAAAAATGATACATAAAGTGTTATTCTAATAGCACTAGGATATAATTTTGTTTTAAAATATTTGGGGGGGGGGTGCCGGTGATTTAGCTCAGTGGTGCTGCCGCCTTTCTCACAAGCACAGGGTCCCGAGTTTGATCCCCAGTACAAAAAACAAAAATTTGAGGTTTATTTTATGGCATTGAGGGTGAAACCCAGTGCCCAGTACATGTTAGAAAAGTCCTCTACCACTGAGCTAACCCCAGCCCCAGCATAGTGGAGTCATATCGTTTCTTATTTAGATGTAAGTAGTTTTTTCCTTTAGAATATATATGGGGCTTTTTTGGGGAGGGGAAGGGTCTTGCTTTGTAGTTCAGGCTGGCCCTGAACTCACTATGTAGCCCAGGCTGGCCTTGAGCTCATGGCGATCCTCCTGCCTCAGCCTCCAGAGTGCTGAGATTACAGGTGTGCACCACCATGCCCAGCTAGAATATTTTTTCATAGTGGATAGAAATTTTCCCCAATCATGGCTTTATTGGAGAGAATGTCTAGGAACAGCAGACATTCAAAGTTGTATGTTTCAAAAGACGTGAAATACATTGCATGGCTCATCCTTTATGCTCAGCCTGTGGGAAGCATCTCAAAAACCCCTCTCATTTCCCCACCAGCCGTGTGGTGTCCCTAACTTCAGTCTAACCCAGGAAATTCTGAAGCTGAGCTTTCATCACCTGAAAAGACAAGGAGAATTGCTTCACAGAGCAAAGTCAGTTTTGAGCCGTCATTGCCCAGAAAAAAACACTCAACTTCATAATTAAATTTATATGAATAAAAGAGTCTCTATTTTAAAATAACATGTTTACCCTTTAAATCAGACTTTTAAATCTAGTTCTTCATCATGGTGACATAAATAATAGTCAAGGCCAAACCAATGAGGCGCTGGCTGGAAGACCAGAGAGAAATATGTTAGGTACTTTCTAATTTTGCTTAAAATAATATAACTGCTGGGTTTTCAGGATACAGCACTGAAAAGGAATATCATATAATACATGTCCCCAAATCTTCTATTTTGTGCCTTAAATATCATGATCCGTTAGACATTAAACATTCTGTAGCAATCTTAGAATTTAGAGAACAAATTGATAAAAAATAGAGACAATAATGTCTTGACTCATTTGCGTAGTTTGTTGTGGGCAGTGTATTTTTTCTCTGTCTCCGAGAGATCTGGCATAAGGAAAAATAAACAAAAAACTCAAAAAGATCAGATAACAGAACAGAAAATGAGTTTAGGTAAGTTATGGATTCCTCTGTCATTCCACACATGAACATGGAATTAATATACGTCTCTGGTGAGGCGTCTGTAAGGAAGTTTCTCTGTTAATCACTCTAATTCCAAAAGCAAGTGGAGAGGCATTTCTCTGCTTTCTCAGGAAAAGAAATCATTTTATATTTTTACAGATTGAAAAAGTCACACCCGTTGATTATACAAAGTTCAGAAAAGGCAGAACAAGTTTTCGGAAAGCAGTTAATTCAAAATCTGGAAAAGTGCTGCTGACATTAATTGGATGTTGCTACAGACACACACACATATATGAATAGACTAAACAGTATAACTTGTGCAGTTTTAAACAAAAGCATTGAATTTTAATTTAGTTTTAATTTATCTCTCAATAGAGAAATTAAAATAAAAGTGAACATTTTGAAATTCAAATAAGTGTTATTGGCATTGTTTTAAGCAAAAGAGATAATATTTGATAAGGAGGATCTCAAACTTGGAGAAAACAGATCATCAGAGCTCTTTCCACTCCACAAAAGGCTTATTGTTTATATTATAGTTTTTAGATTTTGGGAGTTTTAATTTTTACATTGAACTCTGAAGCCATAATTCCTACAATATCAATGTCACTCACATACATTTAAATAGTGTCAATGATAACCCCTAATACTTACATGATTCCTATATTTCTGAGATTTTTTTCATCTGAATCATGAGAAGCAAGGCCACGGGTTAGGGGTAGGACTGCATACTCCACATCAGACTTGTGGGTTGTCCCGCCCTTGTATTTTATTAACATCTGTTCAAGGAAGTTTTCTGCCTGCTGAGGGCAGAATCACTTTCTGAGAAGGACTCGGGGTGTCTTAGCCGCTCACCCGTCTCTGGACCCTCCTGCTTATCAGGGAGACTCCTGTGCTGTGTTCTTCCTATCTCTCACTCACGAGAGGGCAGGAAGAGCCTAAACTGCCGCCTTGTGGAGCCGAGTTCCCGCTCTCCCTCTGTACCGATCAGATGTGATGTTTGTGGTGCTATGCTGGTTGATGTGTTCGAGGCCTGATATATAAAGTGCATCTATTAGAAAGTTTGACCACATGTGTACACCTATCTGAGCCCATCATAAGCAAGATGTAGAGCGTCTAGAGAAAATCTCCCTTCCCACTCAACGCCCAGGAAGCTGCAAATCTGCTTTGTGTCACTATGTGTGTTCTTTCTAAATTTTGTATGAATGAAATTATACAGTATGAACTTTTTGTGTTTGGCTTTTTTACTCAGAATGTTTCTAAAATTCGTCTATGCTGGTGGATTATCAGCAGTTGATTCTTTTTTCTTGCTGAGTAACATTCCACCACATGGCTATACCACAATTTATCAGTTCACCAACTGAAAAACATTTGGGTCATTTCCAGTCTCCAGCTGTTATGATGAAGGCTGAACATTACATATTAGTCTTAGAATGGGGTTGTGTTTTAATTTTCTGAGCTACTATCTAGCGTGGAATCACTGAGTTGTATGCTGCGCCTATGTTTACTTCATCAGAGTCTCAAAATATTCTTCAAAATTATTGCTACCATTTTACATCAACACCAATAATGCATCAACACTCCTATTGCTTCGTGCACTTGCTAATTGTTTAGAACTTTTCAACCATTTAAAATTTCCTCATCTTAATGTGTGTGTAGTTGGATTTAAACTGTGGCTCCTTTCCCTTCCCCGTCTGACTGGTGGCAGAATTCTCTTCATATGCTTCTTGTCGCTATGGGCCAGTTACCAACTTGTCTAAGTCTGTAAGATACAGGAGACCGGTGTCCAGTTGCATAGAATGGATTGATTATCTACAGATAAGCACGAGACAGCAGAAGTCCAGGATTCCTGCTTTTGATCATTTGACTGTCATCTTGGTGGAGGGAGACTCTGTGATGTATTCATTTAGCTAAACATCCTTGGATGCTGCCTCTCGTCAGATCTCTGTCTCCCTTTCTCTGCCCTTTATTCTCAAGAAAGACTCCAGCAATAAAACTTTTAAAACAGGAATGGGATTTTCAGAGGCTCAGGTAACACCTGAGCTCTCAGATTATCTGCCTCTATCTGCTTTTCAAGATATCCTGGAGGATCAGATATTTTTAAAAATCATTAAACTTTAAATTTTTCATCTATCAGGATGAATTTACATATATAAATTGCTATGTTTTTTCTGGAAAATTAAAACATCCTACACTAGTGTGTATGGATAAAATTTTGCAACTCTCAAAGAAAAACTTATCTGAAGAGTTTAGACTGGATTTACAAAGGAAAATAACCCATCAATATCAAATCATTAACACAATTTTTTTAATCAACTACAGTAGTACCTCTGTTCATGAACTTAATTCTCTGCACAATTCTGGTCACAAACTGAACTGGACAAGAACCAAATCAAATTTCCCCATAAGGTCAACACTGAACCTAACCATTGAATTTGATTAGATTCTTGTTCAGTTCAGTTTGGGACCAGAATTGTGGAATTAAGTTCATGAACCGAAGCACTACTCTACAGTGATATATAAATAACATATTTTTGTTTACATGTGTATCTGTGTAGGCATTTACACAGTGCCCAGATATGTAGGAATGTAACTTTATTTTGATAACATTCCTAGTATTTCTTACATTCCTAATACTCCTAAACCCTGGCTCCAGTAATAGCAGAGGTATTTGTTACTTCAAGTTTATCTGTTCCTGGAGTAAAGCTTGGTCTTTTTGAGAAAAGACTGTGATATATGTGCTACTGGGATATTCACTGTTTGTGAGATTTCCGATTTTTCTTTCCTTTCCTTCTCGTTCTTTGGTGGTTAATCTGGAAGTGTGCTATTGGACTCGCTAGAAGGGTGAGGGATGACAGGCAGAATGGACGCCGGTACCTAACATACGGATAGGGGTTCGGAAAACGTCAGTAGGCCTGGAAGAGAAGCAAGAAATAAGACGCAGAGATGCCACCTCAGAGAGGCTGTTGATGACACTCATTCTGGGTCCCCCAGCCTCCCCCGGACATTGCCTCCAACATGTAAGCGAGCCGTGGAGTTTGCCCTTTTCTACCTGTTTATACTGAAAGTTTCCACGTGTGGGTACATCGCTCCTCTCTCTGAGCTGTGCAGTCTCAGGAAGTGGCAGTGTTCGCCTGTGTAGAATGGCTACAGTGCTCAGGCCTGGGAGCTGTGGATACTCAGTCAACCCCCGCACCAACACGGCACTTAGGATCCAAGCGCCACCTTGTGGAAGCTCAGGTAGTTGCAGGCTGAGAAGTTGGGCCACCCCCCACCCCCCCAGTATTTTTCTGTTGTACAGTTGATTTTCTCTTTTCAAAATAAGTGCCTTATCTTTTCGAATATATAATATCTGAAAACATTAATACAATATTTGAAATAACAAATAATTATAATTTTGAAATTATTAAATAAATTTTAATATTTTATGTACAATTATTTTATATTAAATAAAAGTAGCTGAAGCTGTTAATGCATTTAAAAGGACATTGTCTGCAAATTTAATAGGCTCCTTTCACGTTTTAATTTTATACTAATTCTAGATTATGTCTCTGTATGTCACCACAATTTGATTAATAATTGCTACAGACTTTAGGTCCTTAGTAGTAGGTATGGTATGTTTAATGAAGTGTGATGCCGACATGGGAAGTTATTAATTTATGACACTTAGCTTTAAGATAGCTGTATAAACTGGGCCGGGGATTTAGCTCAGTGGTTCTGCTGCCTGCCTCGCAAGCGGAAGGTCCCGAGTTCGATCTCCGGTACCAAAAAAAAAAAAAAAAAAAAGATATCTGTATAAACTAATGAATTTAAAACCCAACAATGAAGAGCAGGGCATGGTGGCACACCCCTGTAATCCAAACACTCAGGGGGCTGAGGCAGGAGGACCACCAGTTCAGGACCAACCTGGGCTACACAGTGAGTTCAAGGCCAGCCTGAACTACAAGCAAGACCTTGTCTCAAAAAGCCAAAAACTAAATAAAGCTCAAAGATGACATAAAGACTTTAATTGAAGTAAAAAAAGAAATTAAGATTGAGGACTCAAAGTTTTCATATATTATCCTGCTTTTCTCTCTTGTGAGAATATAGAAGAAATAATTTTCAATCTTGATAGTAAAAATTTATCTTCATAATTCCAAAAAGTTAATAAAGTTTGTCTAATTTACTTTAACACAAAATACTCAGTGTGCCTGAGTAGGTTATGCATATAAGAGAGAGTGATGACAGAAATAAATGAAGAAATTGTGAAAAATATTTAAAATGTTGATTCCTTGGCAGGTGGATAATTATTCAATAACTACTAGAAATTACTGGAACACCTTTTCAGGGTTTCATGGAGCCAAACACCCACTGGTCGACAGAAATAATTCCCGGTAGCATTCATGGATTAATGTAAATTTTTTTGATGTGCTCTTTTCCTTTTCCCAAAAATGAAATAATAAAAAACTTTTAATGAAGGATATCTTCTGAAGAGCATCCTTTCAAGTTGGTTGGGTCATTTTTCTGTGATTTATTCTTTCTTCCCTGGACATTTAACATGTAGCAAGTGGAAGAAGAGGATATTGGGTATAGAGCCTTTTTTTCTCCAAAAATTTTTAAACCATTGACTCAAATTCCAATCTTTCGTGTTTATCTTCTCACTCAGGCAAGCTGAAAACAGCCAGCCAGCAGGGGTCAGGCTTTTCCAGTGGATTTATTTGAGTTTTACACTTGCTAAGTATCTCTGGATGTATTTCAGGTTTCCATATTAAATCATTAGTGTCAGACGCTTCCGAAATGAATGCTTCTCACTTATATTGTTAACTAGGATTGTGAAACTCTGGGGAAGCTTTCTGAGGCCAAATTTTTTTTGTTAAAAAATAACACCAACCTGCTACTAAAACAAGAGTAACCCCAGCACTATACGAGGCTGAGGTAGTACTACAAGTTCAAGGCCAGCCTGGACAACTTAACAAGACCTTGTATCAAAATAAAAATGTAAAACTTGGGGATAGGAATGTAACTCATTGGTAGAGCACCCCTGATTTCAGTCCCTAATACCACACATGGAAGGAAGGAAGGAAGGAAGGAAAGGAGGGAAGGAGGGGAAGGGAAGGATAAGATAGGATCAGTCAAGACTCCTCATTTGCTATGTATTTTTTCTAGTAAGCACTAGTGAGTTCATAAATGCTTTACATAGGGTTATCTATGTGTGAAAAATGACTTAAGTATGAAGTCTACTTTAGAATGCTTAAAGCAAAAGAAATATGTGATTTTTTTGTTCTGAATATAATTATGTTTATTTAACTTCAGGACGTGGCCTTTCATTATCAAAAGCCCTAAGCAGTATAAAAACCTTTCTTTCATGGATGCAATGAATAAGTTTAAATGGACTAGAAAGGAAGGCCTCTCCTTCAACAAGCTTGTCCTGAGACTGCCGGTGAACGTGAGATGTTCCAAGATAGACAATGCAGAATGGTCGGTAAGCCCTGCTTTCTTTTAACCTCTGAGATCCTAGATATACTATTTTACCTGAATCTGCAACAGGAAAATCTAAGGCTCGGACATACATCTGTAAATCCAACGGCCTGGTCATGTTTTGATGTGCCGGATTGTTTTAGTTATTTTTCCCATAAATGAGACAAAACACCCAACAGCCATAGTCAAAGGAAGAAAGGTTTATTTCAGCTCTTAGTTTGTAGAAGTTTCAGTCCCTAGTCAGCTGGCTCCAAGGCAGAGGGGCATGGAAGAGGAAAAACAGTTCATGGCTTGGCAGGGCAGGCAGAAGGTAGTGAAGCAAGCAGAAATCAGCCACAACTAGCCCCCTTTCTGTCTCTTATATTCCATCCAGGCTATCTGCTCTTTGGGCAGGTAGCACTCATACCTAGGGTGGGGCACTCTTACTCCTAACATCACACCCGTAATCCCAGTGTCACACACCCTAGATCCAGCCACCCCTCAAAGCCCCACCTATGACCACATGAGGATTGGGGCCGGCCGGGGCATCTAGATTCAAGGCATAACACTGATCATTTATTGTTCGGTGATTACTTGAATTGACTAAAAACTGATTCCTGAAAGCCCCCCTTGAAGAAGGAAATTTATCCTCAAGCCAAAGAAGTGATGGACCAAGAAGAGGATGAGATAAGAGCTTAAAACTAAAGCCCTGAAGCCAGCTTTGTAGTTCTTCTTTTCCACTCTACCTCCCATGCACAGCCTGGCTCTCCATCTCTCCTGACATTTGACTCCCTCAGCTGCTGTCCCTGTTGTCTTGATTTCTTGCAGACATGGAGGTGGCCCGCCCAGTCCTGCTCTTAAATCACATGCTCATTTGCATTTTCTGCTCCTTCCTTTCCAGATCCAAGGAATGATAGCCTCGCCTCCGGATGTGGAAAGGCCATACAGAGCAGAGCCCGTGGTGTGCAGAAAGCCTTCTTCCTCTGCTCCACACAGAGATCTCTCTCCCCAGCTGCTCCTGTGTTTTCTGCTGCTCAGCAGCACACTGGGCCCCACATGCTTGTGATCGCAATTCTGTTGCACTTGGTGACCATATTTCTGTGATCTGAACCTGTGTTTCAAGTACAGATCAAAGACTGTGTCCGCTTTGGGTCTGAAGAGCATGCAAGACGTGGTTTTCTACACTGCTTTCCTCCCCTCTCCTTCCTTCCCACTCTTCCTGACAGACGTCAGGCTGCTCGTTCTGGTGACTAGCTCAAGGACCCCCTTCTTCGGTGTTTTTAGTGATACCCACTCTCTCCTCCTCAATTATCTGAGTCTGTAACCTGGATCACCATACCCACTGTGAAGTACTCTTATACCTCCTGTGCTCAGTACTGGGCAGATAGGTCTTTTCTTAAGCTCTGTCACTATCTAAAAAGAAAGGTTGTGAGAAACATGGAAATGCCAGTCACTGATTGGAGAGAGGAGAAAGTGTCACTGCTCAGTCCTCGCTGAGTCCAGACCAAGGCAGATGGTAGGGCCCAGCCAGGAAGGTGGGAAGCCAGCATCTCCTGACCGACCTCCACTGGGTTTTCACACCTGCTGTGGACCGGCCCACTTGGAGTCCTAGTTCCTATTGCAGATTTATTTTTCTATTAGCTAGTAAAATAACTTTATTGCCATCCATTGAAACTTTTGTCATTCTTTTGGTTCTCTTTGTAGAGTTCAGCCACGTCTTGCTTTATATCCTATCCTCATTTCTTAAGCCAAATCTATTTGGGTCATATTAGTAAACTAAACACAATTTAATTTTTGTCTAGTATCTTATGTACTCCGTAAAGAAGTGACCAGTTGCATGCTGATGTTGTCAATAAAAGAATATTGCATTTTCTATTCCTCCTTTAAGCCCTTTCTGTCCCCAAACAGTGTCTTCAATATAAACTGTATTGTCTTTCAATAAATATTATGTTCTGGAGTGCTCCTTCTTGATAGAATTTGTACATTTAATGAAATGTTTGAAACATTTATGAGCTATATTTTACATTTAACTATTTCTTTTTATTGTATAAGTGCTGTAACAGTTTCTATGATTTTCCTTTCAAGTTCCTGTATGAGGAATACAATCATCCCCACACAAAACATATTTGAAATTTCATCTTTATTTTTACTTAAGAATTTCTACATCCGAGATGGCAAGGTCAAATGATTTCCATTGGAAATTGGTATTTATTTTCATTGTTCTTGGTACGGAAGGTAAGCACACCAACTAGAAAAGGATGAAAAGCTTTGAAAGCTTGTATTTGTGGAGCCAGCCAAAGGGGGAGCCTGTTTTTTCACTGATGTTACTGAGGAGAAAGTGAGGATTCTCTTAGGGGTTCCACGAATACGCATGGCTTTGCAGAATGAGCTTTTTCTGTGCAATTCCACGGGTTATCTGTTGGGAACTCGGAATTTCGGTTATATTCTGGTTGTTTGTTCTCCTACTGAGCAGCAGTCCGGCCTCCTTTTCTCAGAGACCCTCATCATAGAGGGTCTCTCTATGACATCTCTATGTCTACCTCGGATCAGGCCACAGCTCTGGTGGGCTTCTCAGGCCAGAGTCAGAAGCCCTCATCCAGCTTGAGGGACCTGAGTTGATCATTTTTTTCTAAGGGGGCTCAGACAGAATCAAAAGAACTCTCAAGGTGACGAATGATGTAGTCCAGAGGCAGACATGTCCAGGACTTTAAACCCGGTTTAGTGGCTGTAGGGACACTGAGGAGGAGAACCTGGAGACTTGGATGCACTGAACGGTTTGCTCAGCCAAACCCTTACTACCTTACGTAGGCCATTTCTAGTTTTTCAGTGTGATAAGTAACACTGATTACCAATCTTAGAACGAACATTCGCCTATCTCTTAAGTATTTCCTGACAACTAAGTTACTGAAAAAGGAAATACAGAAGGAATCATGTTCTCAAGAATTGTGATATATTCCCAGTCATGTTCAACTTTCCTCAAACTGTTCAGAAAAAAATCTATTTCTCTACCTATCTTCCATCTACAGAGTGGTAATTTATTTAAATATGGTAAAATGATGACCTGGAAGAGTCTGGATGAAGGACATATGATTTCTTTCTACTATATATTCTTGCAAATTTTTAAAGTTTGAAATTACTTCAACGTGAAGTGTTATAGATGCAATCCACATCTGGAAGGCTCCAGCTACAGTAAAGCAGTCTGGGTGGGTTTTCTTCCCTACACAGGAGATCCCCATTTGGGGGGACAGAGAAGGAGGTTAGGTAGTGATTACTCACCAGGTGCCCAGGAGAGGGAAAGATGACAGTCCAGTGTGTCAGCATCCCATCACTGTGGCAAAATACCCAAAACACAGCTTATGAGGCAGCACCTCAGGGTGGAAACCTGAGGAAGCCTGCTCAGCTTCTGGCAGCCAGGAAACAAGAAAGAGGAAAGGGTGGGCCCAGTATTCACTTCCGGGGCATGCCCACTGAATAGACCAGACCCATGCGAAGGTCCTTTCTGCCCATGAGAGTTGTGTTCACAAAAAGATAATCTAAGCATATCGCCTCAGAGCTAAGGGCTGAGTGCAGAGCTCAGGCGGGGTGTACATTTCCAAGTCCGTGAGTCCATGGGGAGTGGCATAGAATAAAACATTTCCCAGGTACTGAGCTCTGTGCCACGCTGTGGTAGAGCAATGGCAGCCAAGGAACAGAGTGGGGAATACAATCCTCTGAGCAGAGCATACCCACTTTTCTGTGACATTTTCTGAAGCTTCCAAGATGTTCACCGACAGCTACAGATCATAGCTCAGCAGACACAGCCCTTCCACTCGGGTTCATTGGTCTATTCTTTATGTGCTGCCTTACTTTTTTGACAAATAAACAGCCAACTGCATGGCATGTCGTACTGCAATAGTCATGACAGCCTTCAGTCCCAGTCACTTCAAAAACTACATGTTTATAAACCAGATTGAAACTGCCAAGTAAATGACACCCATTCAGGTGAATGCTGGGTCTGAGTGTGTTTTGCATCACTCAGAAAAGTTTCTTCATGACTGGTCACATGATTCTTAGGTTTGGGGTCACCGCATATTTCTAAAAAGGAAAGACATGATATTGTGCTCGCCTTTTTCCTCTTGAAAACACACATTTAAACTTATGAAAATTCAGATTTAAGCTGAACCAGTACAACTTTATTTTTTATGTGATCAGGTTTTTAAAATTTTTATTTTATTGGTATATTTTAAATA